TTATACTATATCAAATTTCTTTTTATAATAAAAATGAATATATATCAATTGCACGCTTTTGACATATTTTCGATAAAATTCGAATAAAATGGAGAATAACCAAAAAGAGAGACTGGATAAAATTCATATTCGGGGGGAATATTGTTAAGTCGATTCTTTTGACAATAACGGAACATTAAATTCAATTAATTTATTCCATATATAAATGTAAAAAATAATATTAAATGGTAGTTAAAACGAATGATAATATATGAACATAAAAGTAATTATATTTAATATTCCGTGGGATAGGATATTAAAGGGAAAAAAAGGAAGGGAGGGGGAGGGATTTTATTGAAAGCAAATCCCATTGATAAATAAATGATATCGATGATATGAGATAGGATATGAAAAATAATCAGGATAAATATTGAAATAAAATATAATTGATAAACTGAATAAAATGAAATGAAAAGAAGAAGAAAAACAAGAAAAAAAAGGGGGAAAAATAGGAAGAAATTTGAAAATTTCGTTCAATTGGTTGTAAGGATAACGACCATCTTCTCTCCCCCCTCTTCACCCCCTATATCGAATAGAAAAGGTCAAAATGGAGTCAATTTTAAGGAAGAACGTTTTATTATGGTGGTTCGTTGGTAGCAGGAATTACGAGAAGAGGATTGACTTTAATGTCAGGATTAGGAGCTGCAAACCGAAACCCGAAGGATAATCCCTAACGGGGCGGAGTCAATTAAGTCAAGTTAAGGTATCCTATACTCTAAGGATATCCCTTTGGAATCCTTGAAATCGCTCTTCAGGATCAAGCATGTCGGACTGTTCCTATCGATTCGATCGCCGTCTACGTTCCTTCTCTTTCCTACATTCTACTATTACTTATCTATCTTACTCTATCAATCCATTTATCTATCTATCTATCTATCTATCTATCTATCTATCTATCTATCTATCTATCTATCTATCTATCTATCTATCTATCTATCTATCTATCTGTCTATCTCTCTCTCTCTCTCTTGCACATAATTCTTATTTGTATTCTTTTACTTTAATATAAGAAAAAGAAAAAAATATACAAAAAAGTAATTGATAAAGACGACAGAAGATTTTAGTTTTAAAAAGATTAATATTAACTTGATAATTATTAAACGTTTGAATAATATTAATTTTTTGATCGATATAAAATAAAATATACGATTTATATAGAAATACGGTCTGTTCCAAAATCTTATTTCTATCTTTCCCAACGAAAAAAAAAAAAAGAAAGTTAGGAGAAATATAAAATGAGATTTTAGGAAAGAATTCACCCATTGTTTTAAATGTAGTTTTTGAATATTATTTTTGGTAAGTAAAATAAAATACGATTATTCGGAAACAAAATTCATAAATTGTTAACGTAATTTTCGAATATTATTTCTGTCGAAATGTGCTACATTCTAAAATCATATTTCTCTGTTTCTCTCTCTCTCTTTTTAAACAAAAAAAAAGAAAATGAGAAAGATAAAAATAGAAACTACAAAAAAAGAAAAGTAAAGTAAAATAATTTACAAAAAAAAAAAAAAAGAAACAAATTATACTCGACGATAATCAAAGATATTTGTAAAATAATTTAAAATCGGTCGAATAAAGAAGAAAATAAAAGTAAAAAGAAAAAAAAGCTTTAAAGATTTTTATCGGCTTCTATCCCTATATATATTTAGAAAATGATTTATATAAAATGATTTACAGAAATAAATCTACTCGATAATAAATGAACTTAATGGATATCACTTTAATGGGTCAAATAAAATCTGGGATTTATCTTAATCCTAAGTTGTCCTAACACTAACTCACCTTCTCCCCATTTCTCCTCTCTAAAAAAGAGACAGAGACAGATTGACACAAAAAGAGATAGAGAAAGTGAGATAAAGGTAGAAGATTAAGAAAAGGTAAATTAACTTGATAATAAATGAAGTTTGAAGATCACATTTTAGAGTTGAATTAAATCAAACATTTTTGAAAGATTTTCTTTCTTTCTCTCTCTCTCTCTCTCTCTCTCTATTTCTCTTTCTCTTTTTCTTTCTCTTATACATCTGTGACAAGCTTCCGTAGTTTCTAACGAGTGCAGTCGACGTATTACCACGCATTCATCCTTTGTGCCAAGCCCAAAATCCCAGACTCCCAAGCAGCCAACGAACTCCTGGGTACGTTTTCCACGCGGTTATTAACGCGAAGCTGGTTATTTTCCACGTCCAAGTCTCCTAACCGTTACAACGAAGTCTGGTAAATCACGCTTCGCTGGAGAATACCTAGAGACTTTACAAATGTGTACGTGTGGTTTGTGTGTGTATGTTTCTATATATATATGTGTGTACGCACACACACATTACTCGCTCGTATGAGTTTTCCATGTCTATCTCTCATTTTCCTACCTTTCCTCCCCCAGTATAACCCCCTTTTCTTTTCGTGTCTCCCAAAATTTCGCGTATTCTCTTTTACCTCTATTTCCCCCCCCCCCCACCGCCAATTTCTTTCTTTCTTTTCTTTTTCCTTTTTTTTGTTACAATACTTATACCAATGATATTTAAAAAAATTTTGAAAATAGAGAAAAAAATAAAAAAGGAAATAAATATAGAAAAAAAAGAAAGATTATAAATCTCGAAATCGATTGGTGACATGTTTTTCTTCTTTTGTTTTTATATATATATATTTTAGAAATTTTTCGAACGAAAGAAAATTAAAAAAAGAAAGAAAAAAAGAAAAGAAAAAAGAAAGAAAAATTTTCTGGAAGAGGGCAGGGGGGAGGGGAACAAAATTTGTCGTGCAATCGATTCTGAACTATTTCTATGCGCATAACGCGCGTGTAAACGGGATACGGGATTGATACGGTCCTGAATTCTATTCTGTTATCCGTGAATGATAGCAACGTATCCAGGAAGCGAGTAAAAGCTATGTGAAAGCGTGATATTGAAAGGAGGAAAAACGAATGCTTTGGTATGGATGGGAGGGGAAGGAGAAGGGGAAGAGTTGCATCGAAATCGATATGTGAATACCTATACTTGTACCTTTTTTTTCTTTTTTTTTCCTTTACTGTGAGAGGAATGATAAGATCGTTCGAAAAATATCTTCGAATATTGTATTTTGATAAAAATACATTTTTATATATTTCTTTATCATTCAATTCTTTTTTTATTTTCTTTTTTTTTTTTAGAACAACAAGATTTCCAATAACAAGTTTTTAAATGATAACAAAAATTTAATAATTGTTCTATCGATAAAAATGCATTCTGTTTTTTTTTTGGTTCTTTTCCATCTTCTATCGACACTGCATTCAATACCATTTTATATATTACATTAAATTTTACGAATATTTGTCAATGTAATTTTAAATATTATATTGAAACTAGTTATAATATAATATTAATGCGCGCGTATAAATTGCACACACATATTTTCTTGTTAAAATATTAAACAAAAATGTCATACACGTATAAATATTACTTATGTTTTGTAAGAAAATAAATTGAACGAAATTATGAATGTTTTCTCAAACATAATAATAATATCTAAAATGCAGTTAGTAGAATAATCATAAGATAAACGATTCGTCATAATGACAAGGACGAAGTAATTAATGAAATTGTTAGGAGAGACGTGATGCCTGGGAATAGTTCGTAGGGTAAAATTGTACCATATGCGGGTAGAAACTTGTGCATGTATGAAACTTGATAGTGGTGGTGGTTTGGTAATTGAATCGTTCGTGAAATTCCTACGATGATTGTGGGATGAATGCTTGACGCGATATTTAGTACCGTGCTAATTCAAAACCGATCAAAACCAAATATGCCTTTATGATTAATCAAACCAATAATGTAATATCTATTATTTTTTTGTTTCTTATTATATAGTCTGTTTTTCTTTTTTTTTTCTCTTTTTAACACATAAAACATCAAATTTATGTTAAATACAAAAATTATTTTAAAATAATAAAACCAATTACATCAACCAACACGTCATATTATTCCAACTATGTAGTAATATATAGTAATTAATAATATATAGTATTTTATTATTTATAATAAAATAATATAACTATATATATTACTATATATTACCAATTATTATTACAATGACATGATTTAAGGAAAAAACAAAATCTTTAAACGTTCATTGAAAAATTAACTTTTTTCCATTTACCACACTTAGAAAAGACGAAAAAACGAAACATTTCAAACTGAACCAAAGATTAAAGATTAAAGAGGAAATTGATAAAACGATAGATTAATTGATTGAAAATATTTTAGAATCAAACGGGGGATGGAATATAAAACGAAATGAAATATCAGTTGTTATGGGTGTTGGTGAAGTGATAATTTGAAATTTATGAAGATATGGGCCGCTTATGTTGAAAGTGGTCTAACTCCATTTTCCAAAAAAATCGAGTTAACTACCATAATAGTTACATTTTTTCATGATCTTTTCATTCTCAATGTGTTACAAATATATTTAATATCATGAAGATATTGTAACAAGAAAATTTGCCGATCAACAGAATGATGAAAAGTTTATTTTAAAAGTGACTTATCTTCATTCGTCATTTACTATTTTCCGGTTATACGTGGTTATTGTACAACTTCATGTTATGTATCAATAAAACTTTTGAGGTTGCTTATATTCCGAGTAAATATAATAATATTTTATTGTAAATAAAATGAGACAAAAAGATTTTGTAGTAACAAAATTATTAGAAGACGCAAAAAATATGTTGGATGTGTTGTCATTCGTGGTTAAAAAACGCATATTATTCACTTAATAATTGCCACTATTTTAATAGGAAATATAAACTTAAAGCCTTTAGATACACTTAAGCAGTATAACTCATTAGTATCTTGTATGTATATGTTTCATTGCTTTGAAACGCAAACCCTTCAATATCTCGATTCAAACATAAACGGAATTATGCCGCTTTCAAGATAAGCGACTTATATAGAGGATTTTGGACGAATGTAATGATCGAATTTAATACTCACTAGGATCCTTGACGGCAGTGATGACGAGACGGAAGCCATTCATGTTGGTACCCCAGGCGTCGGTGACGTATCTCAACGTCACGAAGTTGGTACGAGTATAAATCGCACCAACGCTGTTCTTCGTGTTTCTGCAGGACAGGTCAGCCTGAAAACAAAAGATAGAAAAATATCCCATGTATTCGTCAGTACACTTTTTCGTTCATTTATATGAACGTTTTATTTATATATATATATATGTTTGTGCATACATGAAGTGTGAAAAGATAGATAGAAAGGAAAAGAGAGAGAGAGAGAAAAAATAAAAAATAATACAACCAACGCGTGTGCTTTTATCTATTTATTTCTATTTCTCTATTTTCTTTCTTTCTTTTTTCCCTTTTTATCTTTTTTTTAACCTTTCCCCTTAATTCTAAAACTCAAAATTTACGAGCGACCTATGGTTTTGCTTACCGTTATGTTACACGTTGCAAAGAAATAAATTTATTTTGTTGTAGTAACAACGCTGGTTTGATCAATGACAATGTATTTTTAGTTGTAGTTTATTTTAATTTATTTTTTCTTAAAATAATTCAAAAATATATTGTCAAATCGATGCAATATTAGTCGTCGTTTATAGTAATTAACGATAAATATTTTACTTTATCGTATATAATTACAGTTACTACAACAAAATTAAATTTCTAATGAAATTGATTTTAAATTGAATTGCATTATTTTCTATTAATAACATAAATCATTGTATAATTCCATAAATGTAAATTACAACTAACAATATGTGGGAAAAAATTTGTAATTAAATAAATAAATCTACATTACTTAATAAGAATAATATCCAATTCATGGGAGAAATTATTCAGACAAAAAAAAATATATATATATTATAATGGCACGAGATACAAGAAAAAAAAAGAAAGAAAATAAAAAAAATAAAAAATACTTAATAGCATATAATTGTTACAGGAAGAACAAATAAAGACTATGCATAAATGTAACACGTGTGTGTTGACGGTGAGAGAGAGAGAGAGGGGGAGGGTAGAGGGGCTATAGAAGGAAGGTAACAACTTGTTGAACGTGAAAAACAAAACGATAAAAAATCTTGACTAAAATTTCAAACGTAATTTTCACGTTTCGAGTTCACCTCCCTTTCCTATGCACTCTCCTCCCCGGTCTTCTATCTTTCTCCTCAACCTAACTGGAGCTTTATTTTTTTACCCCTTTTTTTATCTTTCTATTCTTTTTCTTTTTTTTTTAAATTTATTTTTTTTCTTTTTCACGCCCTATTCAGGGAAAGGTACCTTCGTTATCACAAAATATTAGCCGTTCTGTCCTAGCTCGCTTAATAACTGTCTTCTTGCCGGGCCAATTAGTGCGAGCGGGCTGCTAAGCCTGGAGCGGATAATCTATATTTAATTACCCCCTTTCAACCTCCCACGCGAACACACGACCTTCTACGGTTTAAAATATACGCATATATATGTATATA